ACAAAAATTACACTTAGTGAAAAAAACAGTTTTGCCCCATTGTGAGGCACAACCGCACCCTCACAAAAATCGTTGGGAGTACACTATTATAGGTACATTTTTTTTAACTTGCAATTTGCAATCACTGCTTTGATCATTTAATCAAAGCAGTGATTGCAAATTTTTATAATTTTTATTTTAACATTGCAGTGATTGCAATGTTAAAATAAAAATTATAAAAAACTTAAATTAAATTTAATAAATTATTTTACTTTTGTTTGAAAAAAACTTTTTTTAAAAAAATAATTTAAGCATATTCTTATACTTGATATAATTCGATTTATTAAACAAAATTTTTTGTTTCACTTTTTTTTGGAAAACAATTAGAACAAAAAAAAAGTTGAATGAAAACATCAGTTTAAAAACTATTTGAATGAAAAACTTGATTATACTTAAATTTTTAATTGTACGCTTGATCAGGAAACGATAATTTACTAGGAAAAAGTATTAGTAGTAGTAAAAAGTTTAGTAGATAAAAGTAGGTTTTAAAATTAGTAGTAGTAAAACATTTAGTAGATAAAAGTAGAAACATTCTATTGCAAACATCAATTGATGTTTGCAATAGAATGTTTCTAATTTTAAAACTATTTTCAAGAAAAAATATATAATTCAAAACGTTAAAAAAATTTAGGATTTAAGAAAAAAAAACTTTCTTCTTTTCTCCCTTGTTTCATCAACCTTTTTTTAAATTTTTAAATTTTTTTTATCACAAAATTATTTTATCACAAAATTATTTGAATAAGTGAATTTTAAGGCTAAAGCTCTCTTGTTAAATTTATTTCTTTTTAAATAAAATTCTTGAAAACAATTGCGTATTTATAGAAAATGTTTAGTTTAGATGTTGCTATAAATAAAATGAAAATATAAAAAAATGGTGTCGCGTTTTTCATATTCTATTCGACAATTTTTGTTAAAATAATTATTAGTTAAAAGCTTATACACGGCTAACATTTGCGAGTATATTAAATAAATTAATATAATTGTTAAATTAATACTTGTAACTGTAAGTTAATATTTTAACTTAACTGGTTGTATTTACTGTGATATACTCTATCCATTCAGTAAAGTTAACTAAATATAACTTCAATAGTTTCAAGGTCGTTAAAGCGAAAAACGTGAAAGCAAAAAAGTTGCTGGGTTTTTTTAGCACAATTTTACTAATAGAAATTTTATTTAATAAAAACAAGTTTATATATATTTTATTATACTTAAAATAGTAAATATAATTATATAAAATTGTTTATAAAATAATAATTTAAATCATTATTATTAAGTTAATTTAGAGCAACGTTTCTTTTAAAAGATAAAAATGCTGTTTTGTTAAAAAAATAGAACGAAGAAAAAATTCTTTCTAACTTTTGTCTTTTTAATTTGCTTCTACGCAGAGATTTAAAGTAGTTTAAATTAAAAAGTGCTTTACATTGAATAAAAATCTCCGCACGAAAGAGCAAATGATCATGCTTCTATTCAAAAGCAAATGATCATGCCTCTATTCAAAAGCAAATGATCATGCTTCTATTCAAAAGACAAACTTTGCGTGACGTACTTTACTATGAAAACATTACTCTTAAGAATTGCCAAGAAAAAAAAAGCTAAATTAGAAAAATAGTAAATAAACAACTAAAAAAGTAAACCAATCACGAAAATATATGTTTTAAGAAAAAACTAATCGCGAAGGTGTAAAAAGCAATTGCAAATCGTGATACGCTTAATTCGAGCCCTGATAATATTAATTATTTTTAAGTTGAAAAATCGCTTTTTTTTTCAAGATGCTGACCTCTAAACAACATATTAAAATGTTGAAAAATTTACTGACGCTTTTTGCCCATTATTTACCCGCTTATGCAAGTAAGATAACCATTTTTGAAATATTATCAGGAATGAAATATTCTATTATCGCAATTTAGTCAAGTTGAATATATTTTTCTTCAGTGTTGCTATTGTGAACTTTAGATTCCCATAGCCTGTTGTAATGCATGTAGAAATATTTATAGCTGACCAACTATATCTTTTAGCATTGCAGATGACTTAAGTTACAAAAGATACTAATAGTGGGTGAGGAGAAAAGATTTAGTAATTCTAGTTTCTTCGTAAATGCTATAAACCAAGGTTCCTAAAGAGTACAGTTGCAGCCTCTGCTAACAGATGTAACTTGGAGGCAATAAAGGACTCTTATGAGCTAAAAAAAGATTTTTGCTAAGTATGTGGAAATGCTCTAATAAAAATCCTAAAATGCCACACCAACTATTTTGATGTATAACTAGTTGTTTTTGCATTAGCAGACAAAAATCTGCCTGGTAATGCATTAGTAGAAATGATGTAATGCCAAAGAAATATTAATCCAAATATAGACAGACAAACAAAATTTTTTTTTTTTGTACAGTATCCTTTGACATTGTAGGTGTTTGTAATAAAGATGTTAATGCATTGTTTTAGGGAGATTCTGGCTGCTGGAATATTTTTGAGAGCTACAAAAAGTTTTTTCTGTTTTTGAAAAATACGTAAGTAATAAATAATTGAACCAAAAGAAATATTTGCCTTATTCAAGAAATAAATTGTGATGCTTATAGCAAGATTTTTCTCAATACTTTTTAATTATTTTTTTTACTCTTAACATAGACTTTTTGTAAAAACTAGCATTTTCCATAAAAAGCATGAAAAAATTTAAAGAATCAAATTGGAACTAATACTGTTGGACATAAAAGCAAAAACTATAAATATCAGGGCTTGTGATGAAGCGAGCACAATTGTGCTTCGCTCCTTAAACGCGCCCGTAAATGGCATTTTCAAATGTTCTAGGCACGATAAACAACACTTGTTCAGCTTATAACGAGCGTATAAAATAACGCTTGTCCAAGAGTTCGGGACAAAAAAAATAATAAGTTATTTTTTTATTTTCATAAAATATTAAAAAAAGAAATTTTAGTAAAGATATTATATTATCGAAGCACTGATATAAAATATAAAAAGCATTTCGTCATTCTCTTTTGCACAAACGTAATGAATGAGCAGTTTGAAGTTGTTAAAAGTCACTAATTTCAATAATGGAATGTGCACATGGAAACACAATGTGAATATAAAAATGCACAAATAAAATAAGAATAGAAAATTAGAAGACCGTTATAACAAAATTGAAACTGCAGAATATTTTTAATCTTGTGAAAATATCAAGTAAGATTTATTTGATTTATTGTTTGTAATATTCCACACATCATTTATAATAAATATTAACAATGGAGTAATTTTTAAAATTAGTTTTTGTTCATAGTATAGGTTTTATATTAACTATTATTTATTTTAAATCAAATTTAAAATGATTCTATTGTTTAGAATGTTCGCAATCAAGGACATTCGCAATCAAAAATACAATTACTCTTGTGTTATTTTTTTAAGATAAAAAAAAACCTAATTTAAATAAGAAATTTTAGAAAAAAAAAATTAATTTGAATAAAAAATATCAAGAAATATGAAAACCATTAACCGTTAATTAAGTTTACAGCATAACATCTTGAAATACATATATCAAAACAGCGTAAGCGAAAAACTAAAATTATACTTTAATACTAAATCAATAAGAAATCACTAAATTATACTTCAATACTAAATCAATAAGAAGTTGCGTTTTTGTTTGATATTTTTTTTTTTTACCATAAAAGGTAAAAAAAAAAATGGCGATCTGATGCAAACAATATGCAAGAAATTTGGAAGTATAAAAATCTACTTCGTTGAAGTAGCTTCATAAGCGTGATTCAAACATTTGTTGACGAAAGAATGATGTAACAAATAAAAAAAGATATAAAAAATAAAAAGCTTTTTATAAGCATCATATTCAGCAATTTTCATGATTCACTCGCCGATATTATCTTGAGCGCACATAATCACGCTCGATTAAAACATATTCTAATTTTACAAGCCCAATATAACACGCTTGACGATTTTCATCACAAGCCCTGAATATGATCATTTTTATTTAAACATCAAAGATACCCAAATTTAGAGTTCTTAGCTTTTATTGTCATGTTGTTACAAAATGGCACAAGCTATTGTGCAGCTGCAATTTCTTGAGCCATAACCTAACTTCTGAGACAAAATGCAAACTTTGTCTCAGAAGTTAGGTTGTGGAGACCTTTAAGAAAAAGTATAACAGTTTCATAGCATTTGATTTTATGATAAATACTTTCCTAAAGTCTAATATGTTAACTCTCATAGAAGGATCTACTGCTCTCATCACAAAAAAATTAAATAATTTTGTAGATGCTTATAAAACTTGTTTGTGGGAAAATGCTTGACATCTTTGATAAGAAAAAATGGAGAGTGAAGAACAAATCTTCTTTAAACATCAAATGGCTAATAAAAAGAGCTGTGTATCTACTAGCTAAAGAGTTGTTGAGCATTCTGCTAATATAATGTTGATACCAAAAAGCCTGGATCCTTATCATGTATATTGAATCTAAATGAAAACTACACATACAGACAGAATCTATCAAAGTGATGATGACTTTGATGACTTTAAAGCTTTTTTTGAACCACCCATAAAGAAGTTTCAATTAAAAGTGAGTAAAAATACTCCTCAAAACAAAAAGAGCCTTTTTTATTTGAAATATAATTTCATGTTTAAAGCAATATTAATATTTATAAACTTATTTCTACTTAAAGCTGCTTGCTGACTAAACTGATCATTAAATAAATATAAAAAGCTACTTGAATAAAAGAACATTTTAAAACAAATATTGCTAAATATAAATATATAGCAAAAACAAATATATGCAAATAATACTATATATACATACTTATGTGTATATTTAAAATTTAAATTTATAATTCAACAAAATGATTTTAAAAGTACAGTATAATGTATAAAACATGTAAAATGTATAAAACAATAACTTACCAGTAAACAGTAAAATGTATAAAACAATAACTTACCACTAAACAGTAAAATGTATAAAACAATAACTTACCTTGCGTTTCACTATAAATTGATAGCATTTTAATATATCCATAATTACAATCAAGATTAAAAATACAATCAGAAAATAAATACAAAATAACATCAGTAGACACTGTTGGATAAGCATTTATTTTAGAAAATTGATTAGTTCCATTAACAGCTCCAGTAATTTCATAAGTATTGTTTATGAACTTTTGAGAAATTACAATTGAATTCCATGTATTACTTACAGTTGTAATAAAATAAGATTCAGTGTATGTGGTAACCTTTAAAAGGTCATTATAAAAATCTAATCTCAATGCATAATCATTTCCATCATAGATATTTATAATATTTTTTTGTTGATTTCCATACGAAAATAATACAAATGATACCAAAAACTCATCATAAAAAGCATTTAAAGTTGTGTTACTATATTTATTCTCTATCTTTTCAACAAAAAAAGAACCTAAAAAAAAAATTTAATGCAATTTATATATATATATATATATATATATATATATATATATATATATATATATATATATATATATATATATATATATATAAATGCCCTGTTTTAAAGCGTTAAGCATAGAGCAATTTATGTACAATTTATGTACAATTATGTACAATTTGTGTATGCCTTTTTAAGCAACTTTACATAAGCAGTAAGCGATTTCAGTTAAGCAACTTTTTATCATTTTTTAACTTTTAAATTATTCAATAAGCTGTAAGATAAAAGATGTAATTAATTTTTAAAAAAGTCACATTAACTTTTAAATGACGTTTATGTAAAAATAATTACTCCAAAAAAAATTGCTCCAAAATAGACAATTATGTTTGATATAAGCGCTTACTAATGAATTCAATAATAAAAAAAACTCAAATGAAATTAAAAATTTATTTTTATTTTATTTTTATTTTATTGTAATGATTGATTTTTCAAGCTTGAAGCAAAGATCATAAAAACATAATTTAATTCTGATATAAAATATATGATTTAATTTAAAATAAATTTAATAAAAATATACAATTTTATTCTGATAAAAAATATATAATTTGATTTAGATTTAAAAAATATAATTTAATTTTTATTTAAAAAATATATAATTTAATTTTTATTTAAAAAATATATTTAAGTTTATTAAAACTAAAGTTAACCTGACAAGAAAGGTATATGTGGCCCACATGTGATCATAGTGCTTTCATGTGGATTAAAAGTGCAAAAATATATTACAGTTGATGAATGACGCATTTGATGAAGATAAGTGATAACCACATTATGTGTTCCCACTTGTGGAACACATAATGTGGTTCACATAACTACTCCACTTAATGTGGCATAATCCTTAAATAAATACGTGCTAAATTTGATGTGGTTATCATATGGGCCATACATATAAAACTCAAAATAAAACAATTTCGACTCATTTTGAATTTTAACCAATTGTAATAATCTCAATGCATTGTAAACTCTAGAATATTCCATGATATCATGTCGCTTACCATTTTGATAATTTTCAATTCATAACTGTTGTAAGTATGTTTGAGCGATAAAAATAAATATATATAAAAGAAAAAGTGTAAATGTATAAATTAAACAAAAAAAAACCTAGGTGTGTTAGGACTTTTACTTATTGTAATATACAATTTGTTATCATTACTAAACTAATCAACTAATTTGTTATCATTACTAATTTTTTTTTTTAAATGTGATTTTATGTGTGATTTAGATTAAATAACAACATATTGTTAAAAGAATATTATTTAAAACTATATTAAAGGGCTGTACAGACGAGGGTGTGTGGAGGTGGACCCCCCCCTCCCAGATTTACAAATTGTCAGTTTTTGACGGAAAATTGGAAGATTTGGGACTCAGTCGGTTAGAACTGATATTTGACTTCAAAAAAAAAAAAAAAACCTTGTCTGTAAAGTTAGCTTTTTTCCGTTGCGCACACACACACACACACACACAAGTCTTTGTCATTTGGTACGTCCCTGCTTATATATAAGTATACAATATATATTATAAAATGTATAAAAAACTGTAATTGTTTAAAATTTTGTAATAAAAAAATAAAAATGTTTGAGCGGTTTTGTAATGAATATATTGGAGAATTGCTGTTCTAAAAAAACTTTCCATAAAATTTGTAAATCAGAGTTATACTTAACGAATACAAATTTATAGTTATACTTAAACAACGTTATATTTTAAAATAGCGGACAATGTTAGCAAACTTCCGCAACCACAAATAAATTGTACAGTAATGCGTCACTAAAAATAAATATAGATAAACAAACAAACAAACTTTTAATTGAGGCGTATTATATTTTTTGCATTAATTTAAGTTTTTTGAACTAAAAAGATAGGTTCTAAGAAAAAAATCCCCCCGAAATAAATCCCCCCAAAAATAATCACCCAAAGAAAAGACCCCCAAGAAAAAATCCCCCAGGAAAAAATACCCCCAAGAAAAAATGCTTTAGGTTTCAAATTAAAAAAAAATATATCAAAGCTTTTTGTTTGTTAAGTATTTATCTAGAGCCAAATAAGTTGCAACATTAACAAGATCGGGAATTGCAACTTTCATATTTTGCATATTATAGTTTATGGTAAAATTAAGGTACATAAAGTTAGCTTTTTGATGATGAACTACCGGAGTACATCCTTACAAGTTTAACCAAGTTATTTTAAAATCCCATCTTAAAAAAATTGAATGATCTTTAAAAAATTTAAAATTGTTAGTACGCATTCAAGATTTTATAAACCCACAAACGAAAATGTTTTTAAAACATCAACCTATAATTTTGGATCAATGTAACTATAAATAATTTTCATTACCACTCTTTAATTATTGTTAATGTATTGCAATTAAGTATATTTGTATATTTAGTATATTTGTTTTTCTTATATTCCTTATGATAATTTTGTTTTTTATAGTGTTTTTTTTTTTTGGCTACGTATAGGACAAACTGATAGGATATAATAATTCAACAGATGATAGACTGAAGAAATAAATATGACTTCTTCATGCAATCGAAGTGTAGCGTTGCTCTTATTTAGTGTGTTTTTAGTGGAATAAACTTTAAAGCCACATATGAAACGCACCAACGCCATTCCATAAAGGAGAGTGGGAAATATATGGCTAACATGTGCTTCCCACACATGGGCCACATGAAACTTTAACACACAAATGGAGTGTGGCATTTGTTTGTTCTTTAGTGTGGTTTTAGTGGGATAAACATTATAGCCACATATGGGACATATCAATGTCATCCCATAAAAGAGAGTGGTAAGCATATAGTTAGCATGCAAATGCTATACATGGCCCGCATTAAAATTTCTTGTCAAGAATGCTTGAGTTTGACTTAACTGTCAAACTTATTTACACAATTAAATTTTAAATAAAAAATTGCATAAAAAATTTGCACAAAACCTAATTTAAACTTTTCTTTTATAACACAAGTTAAATCACAGCAATTATTTTTTAATAAACTATATATATTTATACTATATACAGTTTATTAAAAAATATAACTATACTATATTTAATATATATATATTATAACTTTATATATATATATATATATATATATATATATATATATATATATATATATATATATATATATAAAGTTTCTGTCCATGACTGATATATATATACATATATACATATATATACATATATATATATATATATATATAATATATATATATATATATATATATATATATATATATATATATATATATATATATATATATATATATATATATATATATATATATATATATATGTATATATGTATATATATATCAGTCATGGACAGAAAAGACGTGCAATCGTACTCTATTCCTGGCCACAAATTTGTTATTTTTTTGCGACAAATTAACGACTGCTAAAGTTTTAAAAACGGTTAAAAAATAGGCTAAATAAAGTATAAGGGAGAAGAAATAAAGTATAAGGGAGAAAGCAAGAAATTGCTTTTAAAGATTGAATAGTATAAAAAATATTTATTTAAATTATAGAAAGATATTATATTGTTAAAAAGTGTATTTTTTATGATGAATGTAAATGTTTTCAAAAAACTTTGTACAATTAATTTTATAAACAACAACAAAAATGAGTTTTTTAAATAAACTTTTTTATGAATTCATAAATTTAATAGTCGAAAACGTAACAAAGTTAAAGCCTTTTATATAAGACTTATAAATATGCTGAGTCAGAATAATATTTATTGCTAACTTATTTATGACAAAATTTGTTATATCTTAATTTCATATTGTAAAAAAGTTATAGTTAAAGTCTTTTTAAGGGCAATAATAAATTTATACTTTCTTTTTTTTTTTTGTACCTGGGGTGGGCTCATTTTGTATCTGCACAAGGTTAAATGTCTGAACATCAGTTTGTTGACTCATCTTTTTAAAAGAAATTGTACATTTAATAGTTGGTATAAAATTGTGGAAGCATCTTGTTCCTGGCAAGGTTCTTCCCATAGTAAACCTTGGTTTTGATGATGATCGAACTTCATTTATTTCAATTTTATAAACCAAAATGAATTGAATGTTCTTTATATTGGCTACACAAAATTTAAACATCTAACCTACATCTAAATCTGTTCAGTCACTTTCCTTTTGAAACTGACATGTTCTGTTATTAACTTTACTGTGCCCCCATGCCATCACAAGAAGAAACCATAGTTTGTAGCAAATAAACCCATTTAGCATCAAATCAAAGTCTTCTTTGTGATGGCAAAGATTAAAAAAGTTTTTATATTGTGCTTTTCATCCATTAGTGTAGTATATTATATTCAATCTTTCACTATATAGTGTAGTATATAATATTCAATCTTTCATAATATTCAATCTTTCACACATATATAATATTCAATCTTTCACAGAAAGACGTGCAATTGCATGTCTTTATTTGACAAAGCAAATTACATTTTGATTTGACAATTTAACTGGAGCTATTTCAAAAAACATTTTAAAAATGCGCTGAATGAAAAACATTCTTTATTTTTCATTCAGCACGTTATACCTTAAATGAAATAAATTACATCTAAACTTTTAACAAATGTTGGCGAAACGCTTTTAAATAAAGTAACAATATACTGATAATGTTTTTTTTTATATATATAAGTATAATTGACATTTGTATATATTTTTTTAATTTATAATATATAAATTGTTTAAGTGTGCATTTTTTATAAAAAATTACTTTGTTTTTATAAACGATGACATTCTATGACAACAAAAGTGCCTTTAACAAATTATAATATAATAATAATTAAAGTTAATACATTTAACTCTTTCGCACCGAAACAGGTCGTTAACAACCCTGTAGTAATAAACCAATAATCAAAAGTTTTTTTTAGTAGAGCCATTAATCAAAACTACTTGATTTTATGCTTTAAAGGCTCAGCTTCAAAATTAGCCATAATAAACTAACTTTTAAAGCTCCATAATAGAAAAAGAGGTCTCTAATATATGTCACACTTTAGGGATGGGGCGGAGCAGGGAAGAAGCGGGGATGTTAGTGGTTTATTGACAACTCATACGTAACTTGTTACCAAAGTGTTATGATGTTGTGACAAAGAGAGGGGAGGGGTCTCAAATAGTTGAAAATTTAGTGAACTGTAAATAGAGTGCAGTTTATAAACTGCACTCTATTTTTATCTATTTTCTTTACAGAATGCACCACGAATAGTTTTAAGTCTTGATAAATAATATATTAACTTTTTTAAAGGTATGAAGCGAGACTCTTTTTTTTGTAAAATAGAAATAAAAAAATTCGCTAAAGTCACGTGATCTTTGTATCTGCCATCATTGGTATTTCGTTTTTTTTAAAAAAAGTTGAAAAATAATTTATAATATATAAATTGTTTAAGTGTGCATTTTTTATAAAAAATTACTTTGTTTTTATAAACGATGACATTCTATGACAACAAAAGTGCCTTTAACAAATTATAATATAATAATAATTAAAGTTAATACATTTAACTCTTTCGCATATCATATAGTCATATTATATATTATAAATAGTCATATTATATATTATTTATCTTTTTGAAAATATATAGTTATGGGGTGTAAATATGATGCCTTTTATCTCTAATATATCATTTTCACTGAAGTATTTTTATTTTTACTGTTTGCAAATATTAAATATAGGTGCAAAAGAGTTAAAGATAAACAAAATTATGTTGAAAAAAAAAAGAAAAATGTTTTAGAAAACCATTAAAATTTAATAAGTTTGATCTTAAAATCCTTTGATAAACTGTTTGTTTTTTTTACTTATATAATTATGTATTTTTTATGATAAATGTTTATCTTTTGAAACATATTTAAAAAATGAAAAACAAAGTACAAATGTTAAAGCAAAGAATGAAATGGTTTTTTAATGCGTAAATTAATTAGACTAAGCATTTTAGTTTGATGAGTTTTTTTTTAGTTGGGTTATATACACACACATATATATATATATATATATATATTAATATATATATATACTATATATATATATATATATATATATATATATATATATATATATATATATTGTGCTTTTGCTTTAGTTAATTTTTTTTTTTTTTTTCTCTTTTGCGAAGATTATTTTTCTTTTTTTAAAGTTTTTTTTTTAGATAAGTTTAAGTAAGTTTTTATAGCGAATTTTTAAATTGTGAAAATATGTCATAGGTAGTGGTAAAATCGTTCAAACAAATTGTTTTTTGTGTGGTCATATAAATGCGTATGATTGCACTCCTTTCTGTGAAACACTGTAGTTTGTAGGTTTGCTTTAATGTAATTGGTAAAAAGCTGTTCTATTTTATATACATAAGAAGTATCATTTGTTGCACCAAAAAAAATTCTTTAGACAAGAGTTGACTTTGGGTTTTCACACCTGTTATTCATTTATTAACATTATTTAATTGATAAAAAAAAATTTGATAAAAGCTTTAAAAGTTTTACAGCTTATAAAAAATGTTTTGTATTTCCTTACTGTAATAGAATGCAGGCATTTTAAAAATTATTACAACAATCAAAAATTCTATATAAAAGTGAATAATGTATTAAAGTAATTAATTTATAAAAAATATAATTTATCACCTTAAAAAAAATGATTATGCAATAGTTTAAAGTGTAATAATTTTATTTTTTATCAGTTAAATAATTTTATATTTTATCAGTTAGTCCAATCTAATTAAAAACAGTTACATTTAAATTGGCGCTCTTTATAATTTTTTTTTTTTTTTTTTGTTGCAACAAAAAAAAAAAAAAAAATTAAAAAAAAAGTCTTTTAAAATGCATTGCAGTTTATAATGCAATCAATTTTTTTTTTTATAAAAACGACTTTGTGCTTTTCATAGAGATAAAAATTATACTTTTGCAAAAGCCACAAGTTGCTCCTATAAACCATTGTAACTCCTTTTAAATTGTTGTCTTATTGGTGAAGTCATGTTTCTTTTGAAAAAATATAATTTTTTAATGTCATCATCATTTCTGTTCGAAGCTTTAGCTCTCGCTTCCCAGCAAGGCCTGAATTAATATCAGTTTTTTTTTTGCATGTGTGGCCCGTACCCTATACTGACAAAATCTTTTGTTCCTGTCATCATTTGTGTGTACTCATCACTTTGATAAAAGCTATGAACAAGATTAATGCTTTCATGGGAAAGCAACTTTACAATATTTATGTTATAGCATTGATTATTTGATTCTAATTCTTTATTTATATTCAGTAGTTAAGTAAATATAAAAATCCTGCAAAGTGACAGGAAAGATATTTAGAACATGAAGCAATAATATAATTATGAAGCAATAATATAATTATGATGAAATAAAAGGATTTATTTATAAAAGACAAAAAAAAATGTCTTTTATAAATCAAGCATTTTACAAATATCTTTCATTAGAGCATTAAGATTACAGCTTAGTAAAGTTCTTGTAATTAAAAAATGTTGGTTATTTAAAAAAAATTATCTTAAAATAAATTTTTTATTTCTAATTATTGCTCCAAAAAGCTTAAAAGAGTATTTTTTAACTAAACTTAAAATTTTTTGACTAAAATTTTTAACAAAATTTTTTCAATTTTTAAAAAATATTTAATTTGGAAATATTAATATTTTTTTTTCTTGAGGCGGAGAAAGAAAAGCTTAATAGCCCTTTCCTCCTCCCAAAACTTTGAGCATACCCCCGGCACAAATATATAAATAAAGTATAAATTTATTATTGCTCTCAAATATATATATTATATATATATATATTATATATATATATATATATATATATATATATATATATATATATATATATGTATATATATATATATATATATATATATATATATATATATATATTTATACATATATATATATATATATATATATATATATATATATATATATATATATATATATATATATATATATATATATATATATATATATATATATATATATATATATATATATATATATAATGTAAGTTAAGTAGTTTATTAATCAACTTTTATTTAAAAATTTGCACAACTTACTTCGCAAATAACAATTATAATCAACAATAGTGCACTTTGCATTATTTTGACATGGATCACCACCAAATACAAAATTAGATGATAAAATTAAACAACTATTATTTCCATTACACAACTTTTGAACAACATCTGTGACAGTTTTGAAGCATGTGTTTATATTGCCAATTTTGCCATATATAGCACTTTGAATTTTTATCAAAGATTCATTAGGACATTTTAATAAATATGATAAAGACTCATTTATTACAACTATTACAAAAAAAAAAGAAAAATATGATTTAATTTTCATTAAATTAATAACAACAAATTAATTTATTGTAAAAAAAAAAAAAAAAATTCATTTTTGAATAATTGTAATAATAATAAAAAAAAAAAACATTAACACCTAAAAAACAATGTTATTTGTTTAAATTTGAAATTTTCTTTAAATTAGTTTTATTTTTAAATTTATAATAAAACAAAACTCACTTTTACTCTGCTGATAGGCTCCTAATATGATTAACACCTATAAAAAACATAAAAAAAATATAAAAGCTGTTTGACTACAATAAAGTTGAAAAAACCTTCAATAAGTAATAGAAGAGATTCGGTAAAAAATAATACTCACAAAAACTTTTTTATATTCTACATCAGATAAGAATAACTCGTTACTTACCTTACAAACAATATTTTATATAAACTTTGTATCAAAAAATCATTTTATAAAATAAGTTAATTGTATATAACCCTCTGCCAACTTGAAAACAATCGAAAAGTTGAAAATATACTAAGTAGAACATCTAAATTAGTTTATGGGTTACTATCATCATAGTAACCCATAAACTAATTTAGATGCATATCATCAAAGACTATCAAAAATTAGTGTGAAAACCATGAGATAGACTAATCCTGGGAGATTTAATTCTATAAATGGCTGAACAACTGTTACAGCTTTCAAACAATTTTTCCAAAAACAATTATAAATTATATTACAAGAGGATATTTATTTAAACTAGAAAAACCTTATTCTTGTTCACCTTCTCATCAAAACTTTTTCACCTTACAAATAGTCAACAAATGGAACTCCCTCCCAAATGACAAGTGTCATCTGGGCGGGAGTTGTCAAATATACAGTGCTGTAAATTCGACATCTTTAAGCAACTTTAAAAACAAACTAGATAATTATTTAAAAGTAGAAAAAACAATTTATGATTAGTATATTTGTATGACTGTTTGACATGTTTCATGCCTATACAAATCCGATTTATATACCTTATAAAATAATAACAATAAATGATAAATTAGAGTGAAAGGAAAATGTTTTTCATTTAAATTTTAAAAATAAACAGAGAAAATATTATAAATTATTGTATATATATATATATATATATATATACATATATATATATATATATATATATATATATATATATATATATATATATATATATATATATATATATATATATATATATATATATATAATTTTAAACATCTTCGCTTCCAAAAAGGCTGCAAACAACCACTAATTAATGTTGGAAGTTACTGGAAGAGAAGAGATGAAGATTGTAGAGCAAGATAACGAATGACAGACAACTTAAAAGATTGCAATTTATATGAATCAGGAAAGCAAGATGAAGGAAAGAAATTCCAAAGAACTGATGTTCAGGTACAGTAACAGAAAAAGTAACAACTTAGGTACAGTAACAGAAAAAGTATGAGACTTAATTAAATGAGGAGTAACACGAGAATGAATTTTAGTATTAGGCACAAGAAACACTAGCTCTTTAGAGCAGTGCCCATTATAGTATTTGTAGAAAAGAGAAAGAGAAGCAACCTTACGACAATGTGACAAAGGTTGAAGGTTAGCTGCAAGACCAGGTCCAACTATGTCTACAATGCGCTTTTATACCTTTACACCTTGTCTGAAAGAGAAAGGGCATCATTAGAAGATCCTCCCCAGATATGGCAACAGTATTTCATACAAGGCCTGATTTGAAATTTATAGAGATAGAGAATAGAATCCAGAGTAAGAAAGTGTCGAGCTTGATAAAGAGATGCAACTTTAGCAGATGCTTATTTTGCAAGGGATTTGATATAAGGTTTCCAAGAAAGATTAGAAGTAAAAGTTAATCCTAAAAGATGAAGGGTAGATGACTCATCAAGTTTATTACTGTTCATAAATATAGGAAGATCTAAATTATTGTGATAATGATTGGCTCAAAAAAATTAAGTTTTATCTGAACTAAAATTCACCAGCCACTGTGAGCCCCACGCTGTAGCAGAAGTGAGATCCTTTTCAAGCTCAAATACCCCCTGCAAGCAATCAGAAGGAGTTGGCTTCTTATGACAAGAATAAATGGTAGTACCATCAGCGAACAATGCCAATCAAACTACTAAATAAATGCTGCCATAATCATTAAATAAAAAGAACAGAAATTAATATAAATGAAAATCAAAGGAATTTTGTTAATTACTTCAAGCATTACTTAAAACTTTTTACTTTTATTATTTTTAAATAATATTAAATATATGTATATATATCAGGCCTTGTTACGAGATTTCGCTGCGTAACGGAAAAGCGAGACGTGAATAAATGTAACTTTACTGAATAAAGATATTTACATTGTTAAAAGTTAAATTACGTCAGTTGCGTTTTTACTGCATTGTAATTAAATTTAAAATGACAATAAAAACCATTGTTAGTCTTAGAAACGAAATAGCTTTAAAACAAAATAGCTTTAAATTGAACAACATTGTTATAAAAAAAACTAAAGTTTTAATGTTGATTAAAAAAAAAGTCTTTTTGTATTAAAATCTTATACTTATTTAAACATTTATTTTTTTTGCTTTCAAACATTCAATTTATGCTTGTTTTTTTTTTATTTCCATTAAAATATTTTATTTTTATGTTCAGTGAAACCTAACGTATTTTTACTATTTTTTTACTAAATCCAAAAAAAAAAAAAAAAGTGTTTTAAGATGTTATAAGCAGAATTTGTTTTTAACAAATATCATTATAATTTTGAAATTTATGTATCTTATATTTATAGCTCTAGTACTAGTTTTGTTTTTAAAATAGAATACATATAAGTTGGGCTTTTAAAGAGTTTATTTATTGATCGCGTTGTTTTTAATAGGTTTGAATTTTGGTTTGTTTTATAAAAAAAATTATTTGGCAAACGGCTAAGGGAAAACCTAAACATAACATTTATAACTCGAATTTAAAAGAACTTTTTTGTATTGACGTTATTTATTAACTTGTAGTTACAAAACGAATAATGCACTTCTGTAAATAATGAATGAAACTGTAAAATAATGGAAAAAGAAAAACTGGAAAATAATGCGCTTTTGTTCAGCGTATTATTCAGACCAGTATTTGGAACTGGAACTTACCTGAAACTTAACTGAAATTAAAATTAAATTATATGTAATACGAACATTTTAAAGAAACTTGAATTAAATTTATTAAATCTTTTTTTACTTTGGAAATTTTATTAAAAAAAATTGTAAAAACGGAGCATTTTAAAATTAAAAAATTTTAAAATGCTATGTTTTAAAATTAAATAAAAGAATTTTAATTAAATTTAATAAATTTATTTAATAAAAATTATGTTAATAAAAAAATATTTAAATTTAATAAAATAAATTTAAAAAAATTTTTTTTTTTATAACTTAAATGTTTTTAAACTTATGAAATATAAAACTTAATATTAAATATAATAATAAGTTTAAACTTAAAATACTTATTTTTTTTAAACTAATTTTTAATAACAACAATAAAAATAATTTAACTAATTTTTCTTTAACAAAAAATCTATTAGTTTACAATTGCGGTTAAATGCTTTTACTTATGACTTTATTTTCTTCTGAATAAATATCACATAAACAATATCAAATGATAATTTAAATATTCTAAAAGATTAAAGTTTTTGCGTAACGCAAAACTGCTGAATGCGTAGGCAAATCGCCTTTTCATAGGTAAAATGCGAGCTGCGTAACGATTCTTAACAAGGCCTGATATATATATATATATATATATATATATATATATATATATATATATATATATATATATATATATATATATATAAAACTAGGTCAGCCCAAATTCGACAAACTATGTCTCTATAACCTTCGTCAAGTCGACACTTTTCATAAGTCGACAGATTTCCTGTTGACTTTACGTTTGAATGAATTTTAGTAATGATTAGTTCAATGGAAATTTAAAAAAAAAGATACTGTTGTAATGTCTAAATTATACTCAAGAGATTTCTATGAAAAACATTAACAAAAAAAAACACGGAAAACTATAAACAATAACTTTTTTTAAAAGCGCATATGTTTACTCGTGTTAAATATACGATCTATAGGTCGATAGTTAAGAGATGCATTTTTTGTTTGAAATATAAAGATATATTTATTATGATTTTTGTTTAAAATATAGATAAACTATTTAGTTAAAATAATATACGACCAGTTTAAAAAAAAAATTAACATTTAGACATTATATAATATGTTATTTTTCAACTATAAGTAGACTTATTTTACTGTAAATCTTGCGCTAAGTCAACAATAATAAATATATAGACTTGTATTTTATTATTTCTATGTTTTTATAAGTTTTTTAATATAAATATAAGTAAAAATGACAAATAAACTTTAAAATGAGGGTAAAAAATTTAATTTATACTATTTCTACAATGTCAAGTTAAAATATATGTGAATGCGTTAAATCGCTATGTCTACAAATTTTTTTTTTGAAAAAGCGCTTAATTGATCACTTAAATTTTTTTTCTATACAATTACTTAATCTATGCAACATCTGTTAGTGAAAAATGAATTAAAAAAGAAAATTTTTTATGTCAACTTATGGTGGAAAAATAATCGCTGTCGACTTTGAGTAGACAAAGGCTTATTAATATATATATATATATAAATATATATATATATATATATATATATATATATATATATATATATATATATATATTTATATATATATTTATATATATATATTTACATATATATATATATATATATATATATATATATATATATATATATATATATACATATATATATATATATATATATATATATATATATATATATATATTTATATATATATATATATATATATATACATATATATATATATATATTTATATATATATATATACATATATATATATATATATATATATATATATATATATATATATATATATATATATATATATATATATATATATATATATATATATCTACTATAGCGCAATTGCTACTATGCGCAATTGCTCACTTTTTTTGCTAGCCCAAATTAAGTGAGCGTTTTTAGAAAACGATGAGGGAAAACGAAGAATAATGAATGAAAAGGCTATTTGTCAGTTGATGTATGTACTGAAGCCCCCGGCAGCAGGCTATTTGACAGTAGGTGAGTATGACATCATCATGCTCACCTAACTCAGCAGTATAAGATATATACATACATACTTGTATGTGCATGCACGTGTGTTAGTGTAT